GCGCCGGTGCAGCTCCCACTGCTGCCGCCGCCGCGCCTCCTGCTCGCGCTGCCGCGACAGCGCCCGCTCCAGCGCCTGGCCGCCCCCGCGCCAGCCCGGCAGTGCCATGCCTAACGGGCCGCCGCCATGACAACGCTTCCGGCCTCGGGTGCGGACGGCGTCCGCCGAGGGACACGCTTCTACGCCAACGCTTCTGGGATGGCATGGAGACGGCGTCCGCCGAGGGACATATTTCTTCACCGGCCGCCCTGGCAATGTTTCCAGGATGGGATGGGGCGGGACAAGCTTCTGCGCAGCCGCTTCTGGGCGTTACGACAGCATTTCTGGGTGCTGTGACAGCCCTTCCGAGATGGGGTGGGGACGGGTTCCCTGGAGGGGCAGTTTTCTACGCCCGCCGCCTCAGGGCGCCGGTGTTTCTGGGTGCCATAGCAACACTTCCGGGATGGGATGGGGACGGGTTCCGCCGGGGGACATACTTCCGCCACCAGCGGAGTCGCTCGACTTAGAACCAGAGCTGGATTATGTGACGTGCTGAGAGGCCTCTAGACTAGGCCCATTTTAAGAGGCCCAATAAAAGTAATCCATGAAAATGGATTTTCATGAAATTTCAAGATAAATTATCATTATTTCTGCACAAAATATACGAACTCAAGATGAATAATAACTGTGGAGCCATATCTATGTATATTTTTGTCATATTGGAACAAAAATGTCCTTTTTTTTCTTCTTATTTAGAAGCCCCTCATACTGTGAGGCCCTACACTGTAGCTTAAGTAGCTTCAGCCTAAATCCGGCTTGGGACCCAGAGCAGGGCCTTGTCCCTCAAGCCCGGGGTGGCTTAGCCTGGGCGCTCTGGGGCTGGCGAGCTCTCCTCTAGCCCCACTGCTCAGGGTCGGACTGTGAGGAGCATCACGCCTGGGGCACACGGACGCCTCCACGCAGACCTGGCACTGAGGCAGCCCTGCCACCATGGCTCCCCACAAAAGGCCTTGAAGAGCCAGGCGTCGAGCCCGTGTCCTCGCCCACTCCCGGGGCCTGGCTGCTCACTGGAGGCCGAGGCAGGCGCCCCGGACGACGCCACCTGCTTGAATCGCAGTGTGTGGATGCCCACGGCCCTCCCACAGCCGGACAGCTGCGGTCTGCCTGTAGAAGGGTGACGCTGCACGGCCCTGGTGCAATCCTCTGAGCGGAGCAGGTGGCAGCGGTTGCTGCCAACCTACAGCAGGAAACCTCCTCCTCCTTCCCCCCGCGCAGCTGGACGCCGCGCTTCGTGAGCAGCAGATGCCACGGGGGCGTTTTGCCCCGAGCGCAGGAGGAGGGTGAGCGGCGTTTTGAGAAACAGGTGCAGAGTTTTATCAAGTTGTTTCTTAAACACAACACCTGGACTTTGGCCCTAGATTGAACCGAGCTATGACCGTTTTGGTCTTAGGTTGAAGTTAAGTCCTAGCCATGGCGGTCTAGGAAATATGGGAGAACCCAGGGGTTTTTGGTGGTATCTTGTATTGGATAAACTGCGTAGTTGTGAAAGAGCTTTCGGGCCTACCTGCTTTTCAGGTCTGCATTTCACACCTCCCTGTGCTGTGCTGGCGCTCCACATGGCCATAAGCAGTTCTCGAACCTGCCCTTGTTCTTTTTTTTTTATGTTGCTTCTACTGTTTCTCTCAATATACTATCAAATGGCAGCCTCCCGTGTCCTGTGACAGAACAGATTTAGGTTTTGGAAATGAGCTAGAATTCGAAGGGGCTGCAGCTGTCGTGCTGCAAACCGCTGGGGGAGAAGATCTGGAGGTATTAAAAGCTTGCCATATGGCACAAGCACAAAAAGCCCTCCCACGTGTAGGTTATTAAAACCCCACTTGGGACAGGTAGCTCTAACAAATCCGGCACTGCTGCATCTTAATTGGATGCACTTTTGCTCTGAGCATTTGAGGTGCTGTTGGGGTTTGGTTTTGGAAGTGGAATTAAGTGGAAGTGCTACGTGGAGTATTAGGAATCCAATGCCTTTTAGAGTTGGCTTAAGAGTCACGGGGTCCTAACAATGTGTTGTTGATGGTGGCACGGGTACAGGTGCCATCAGTATTACAGCAGGGGTCAGCTCCTGAGGGTGAAGGACTCAGAGCCCGTGCTGATCAAGCTGGTCCCAAATCATCCAGCCCCTGTGTGAACCTGAAGTCCAGTGATCCAAATCAATGAGTGCTGGACACATCCTTCAGTCGGTCTCTCTCTGGTTGAGTTTAGGGCCTAGTGGAAGCACACGGTAAGAGCTCAGGTGATAGAATCACTATGGTGGAGGCTGAGGGGAGTGATATGAGATGCGCTGCCCTGTCTTTAGACATTACAATGTGGGTGGCAAGTTTCTGAGCTACTGCATCTCTACAAAGACTGGAGGGACTGTTCTGACTCCATTTTCCAGGGGGTGACATGTTTTCCTGATGTTGTAAGACAAAGGTATAAGCCTAATGGAGATAAGGTTACTAACTGGATGCATTTTTAAAAAGTGGATGTTCTCATCTCTGGTCATAGCACAGTCGAAATATAAGTCACTCGCATACTTTTAATTATTCAAATGTGTCTGTATACACGCTAGGCCAGCAAAACACTGAACTAGTGTAAATTAGCTCCCTTTATATTAGTAGTGTAACTTTTCTTTGCGTAATGCAGCTTCTAGGTACAAAATACAATAAAGACTTGGGAATAATCAGCAAGAGGAGCGCCTTAATGAGCACAGTACCTGAACTTTTCACCTGGCTGATTAAACTGTCGAAGAGAACAGAGTGCATACATCCTAGGCAAGCAAGGAGAACTCAACAATGGATTATTTGAAGTGAAAGCATATTCCAAAGGCAGGGTCTTCATAAAGTCCTTGTGCACGTGTAAACTTTAATAACTTTGGTTGTGCATAAGGACTTTATGAAGACCCCATACTTTGGAGTCTTAGTTTTTCCTCCATTTTTTTTTCCAGCCACTCTCACCCTTGCTGGAAGTGTCACAAAGAAAACAGAGATCTAGCCCCTAGCAAATACAAACTCCTGCGGGTTGTAGAGTAGGCAGGTAGTTAAAACTGAGCTAAATGTTGCATCCAACCCACGACCGAGTGACTGTACCGTCAGAATTGTTTCCCTTGTGTTCACAACAGCTGGGTTGTGCCATCCCTGCATCCAGCGAGGAAGAGGAGGGTGGGTCTTTAGGAGAAAGATATTGTGGGAGCTCAGTCACAAACTACAGTTTAACAATTTAATCACAGAAGTGAAGCTGAAAGGGCCCTCCTGAGGCAGGATCAGCCTTGTCCTAACTATCCTGTACAAATAACCCCCGAGTAAAATTACTGTCAAGACATAACCTGCTGTCCTGCCACAGGGAGACCACCAGAGTCCTGCTTGGGCAAGAGGTTGTGAATAAATGCTCTAGAGATCCCAGGTAAAAGCTGTGCCCCCTCTCCATTGGACACATCCCTGCTCCCAAGTCCATGTCAATGGGACCAAGAGGGGACGCCAGATGTGGCTGACCCTCTCTCCAGGAGTTTCAGCCCCAGCAGGAGCATTGGCACGGGGTCCCCATCCCCAGCCTCTGTAGCAGAAGGGAGGAGAGGAGAGAGTGGATTCCCTCCCAGCCGTGCAGCAGCCAGCGCCCCAGGGACCGGGACGGACATCCCCGAGCAGGACGGACTTCCCCCGGGGCTGCAGCAGCTCCCGCCCCAATCCCGCCTCCTCCTCCACCTCCTCCCCGGGAGCTCTCCCCTGCTCTGCCCTGCAGTCCTGCCCGGGCCGGTCATGGCGCTGCTCCTGGAGCACGAGTTCAAGGCGCTGCCAGCTGACAAGCAGATCGAGACCGAGCCCTTCCTGGAGGCCGTGGCACACCTGCCACCCTTCTTCGGTGAGCCCCGGAACTGGAGGGGTTGGTGTGCCCCGGGGAGCCTGGGTGGGAGGAGGGGACTCGCGCCCAGCGCGTCCCGGGAAAGCAAGTCTGGCTTTGGGTGCTTGAGATGTTGGTGCCCAACAGAGCACCCCTGGGTCTTGTGTGCTGCTTGTCAGCAGTGGGAAGGGGAAACTGGTCTCCGGAAAAAAAAACAGACTGCTCCGAACTTGCTGCAGCACTTCTGGCCGCGCTGGAAATGCCTCCTGCATCATCCTTTGCCGGCTGCGACCGCCGTCCCCTTTGCTGAGCAACTCCAGAGTAGTTCAGCTCTTCAGCCTGTTTCCTAGAGCCTTGCGCTGTTCGGTGGTTAGTACAGGGGGAGACCTGTAGCAGAAAGGAGGAGGGGGGAGAGGGGATTCCCTCCCAGCCCCAAGCAGCAGCCAGCACCCCCGGGACAGACATCCCCAAGCAGACACTCCCCCCCGCCTGTTTCCTTTGCATGCCAAAAGGGACAGTGTCCCTCTCCGGTGCTAAAAAGGACTGAGCACCAGGCACCCAGCCGCTGGAGGGTTTGTCCGGACATGCAAGCAGGCTGCTTTGACTGAACAGGGCAGTGTGGTAGGGATAAACACAACATCCCTCTCCACCTTGGTGTGCATGGATTCATAATGGTAAAAGGTGCCTTACGCTGGTGTAGGAATCGACCCGAAGGGGATCAGGTACTCAGTATCTCTGCTTCTATCAGCCCAGACATTGTATGGACCGGGGCACAGCCCCGCAGATGTTATTCTTGATTCTTTTGGCTAGTTTTCCTTTGTGATCAGCTCCAGCATGCAGTGAGTCCCCCTAGGAATGGACTGGATGTGACAGCAAACCATGATACACCCTTAGCTTTACATAAACCACTTGCCTGCCTCAGAGTCTGTTCCTGTGAAGAAGGCTTTTTTAGTGATGGGGTGACTGCCACAACCCCTAGTTCTTCGTACCAGGGCTCCTAGAAGGATGCTTCATTAATGTACATGAGACTTTTATAGGTGCTAACCCCATCGACTGGGTGCATGTGAACATGGGGTAACACTTCAGGTGTGCAGAGATGTAGTGCAGCATCTTTAAAGTGCAGGTGCCCTCTTTCCAGGTAAGTTGTTCCAGCGCTTCTCTCTGGCCGTATGAAACAGGAGCTCAGGGGAGAAGCTGCTAAGTGTCCTGTGTTGTGGTGGATAGAAATCCAGAAATTATTCTGCTGAATGACTCCTTTAAACTAACACGAACCTAGCGTGCCAGGAGTATTTCAGGCAGACAGGGTGGTGGGTCTGCTGGCAGCCCAGCTTCCTAGGAGAGCTTGTACTGTCTTGCTCCACATGGCACATCAGAAACAGTATGACTGACAGCACCACGGGCCTAGGGATACTCCTCTGGGCCCTTTGGAAGGTCCTATTAGAGCAGGAGCCAGCAATTATTTTGGGTGGCCACTTACTGAGTTTTGGCAAGCCATCGAGGGCTGCATGACAGGCAGCCAGGGGCATACAAATATTAATTTTCTAAATTTTGTAGGGGCCCCACGAGCCAGATAGAATGGCCTGGTGGGCCACATTTTGCACACCCCTATATTAGATGCAGCAGCCTCTTCTTTCATAGCTGCCATGTGCCCATCAAGGAAAGAGGGATTTGGGGTCATGGGCTCTCTGCTTCCTTTCCTCCTTGTCATAATTTATTGCAAACACTCAAACTTCTTGTAGCTGAGACCATTCAGCCACAAGCGCCAGGCTGCAACACAGCGTTAACCTGGGGCACAGGAGAGGCGGGCACTGCCACTGGCAGTAGACAAGCTAGAAGCATCTTGCAGGGTGGCAGCATGTGAGAATCGTTTCCCTTTCGTGCTCGAATGTGCGCTGGAGTTATTCTGAGGAGAGGAACTGTTCCTCTCCTTGTGGTGAGCAGGACAGTCCTCGAGCAGGGTCAGCCAAGCAGGGCTCTCAAAAGTCATATCCTGCTCCTCTGCTGCAGTCCTGGAGGTGTGAGGCACAACCGGCTCAGTGCTTGTGGCTGCAGGGATGGAGATCTCAGAGACCAAGAACTGGTCTCTAGGATTGAGTTTAAGCCGCTCGCTCTCTTTCTGCAGTCAGGTGCAGTTGGCATAGGCTTTTTGCTGAATACCCGTTGCAGACTTTGTGTCAGATTTGGGGGCTCTGGAGTCCAGCTTTCTGCCTCAGCTGAGCTTAAAGCAGTGATTGGAATAAACCTTCATGGCTGGCTTATGTGCATCTGCTTCCAAGGCTTTGCTCTGGCTGCACACGGGTGATGTGGGCAGACTCCACTTTACTACAGTATAGCAGGGCGCATTGTCTCTGGTGACTGTCTTCGGTTTCTCCATGTCCCTTTGCCCTTTGTCTTTCCCTAACCTGAGTCCCTGCTCGTGTCTCCTCTCTCTCATGCTCCCTGGCAGTGTTGCTCAATCCCTCGATACATCTGACTTATCTAAAAATCTCAGTCTCTCCAGCCCCTGCATCCTCCGCCTTTCACATTCACGTTGTGTTGAGCAATTGTTCTGCACACCCAAGAGCCGGAGGGCTAAACCTACTAGCCAGAGACCACACCTAGGCGAGGAACCCGTTTCTGTGCCCCCTTTCTGCCCAGGCTGCTTGTGAGAAGGCGAATGTGCTGTTCCACCCTGTCTCTCCCCAGCCTTGATTTTGCAGTGGAGGTGGTGACTGCTAATCTGTCTCCCTAACGATTTTGCCAGTAATTCCCCTGTGGGTCTCTTGTGCCACTTCTCTCCCCAGCAGCACTGAGGAAGCTGACTTTGGTTTCGCTGCTTCCCAGACCCGTCACACTGGCACCAATCAAATCGACAAGGCGTGGTTCGGTTTTCACTCTGCCGAGGCCTTGGAGATCTGGGACTGCACCGCTTGCCCTCAGCTCACCTCGGCAGGATTATCCTCGCAATCACAGGGCCGAAGTGAAAGCTTGACTTCTCCAGCGACACTCACCTGGAAAGGTGCCTGCCTGCAGCATAGAGATTTGCCCTGCCCCATTGTGGAGAACCGAAAGCTTTTAATAGAAATGTTTGACAGCTGGAAGAGGTAGTTGGGCTCTCACTCAGTGGTATCTCCTGCACATTGCTTGGTAGGGGAAAGCGGAAAGTAATAGGGTGGAAATCGGATCGCCAGGTTTTCAGATAAGGAGAATGCTTCTTAATGAGCGTAACTGAATCTTGCCACCTGTCTCAGCCTGTTGACAGGTACATTACATGGATGCCCAGCGGGGTGGTTTTCAGTGGAGTAGTGGGTGTCTCCATCAATCTCTTACCTAAAAATATACATGGATGTAGCCCTTGGTCCAAAACAAACCACATCAGCACAGCAAAACGTGGCATTAGCAGTGACCGTCTTTTGGAAAGCTTGTCAGCAAAGGCAGTTCAATCCTCAGCCTGAATTCAGATTGGAAGGGGCTCTGTGAACTACCCGCTGTCACTGCTCCCTGAGCTGCAGGGCTCAGCTCATCCACTCTCACGCAAATCAGTGCCACCAGCCCTGAATTTACTTCTGATTTGGCCGCTTAGCACAATTTAGATAGGCAGTAACTGGCAGGGAGCTGAGCAACCTCTGGTGCAAGAGCTGTGGCATCCCTTGCCTTGAATGGCTTGGCAAGCATAGGGAACAGCATGAAGAAGAGCCTGCACCCCCCGAGCACTGCCGAAAGGGTAGCTGGCCCAAACTGCTGTGACCCAGATCTCTTTGATTTGAAAGACTGGGGTGTCAGGCCGATCTGAGCCTGTAGACCCCAAATGCTGTGGCAAGGGCTGCCTCTAAAGAGCAAATGACTTGTCTGAAGCCAAATACCCTGTGGATGCTGGAGCCAAGGTTAGCGCCCAGGACCAGCTGGCTGTGAGTCCTGCACTTGCTTCCGTGGGTTTTGCTGCATGCCCTGGCTGGCTGCACTGGAAATGCTGAATGCCTGTCATGCAGACACCAGCGGTTGGGCAGAGCTCGTTGGAAGAGCGTCGGGGCTTCGTCAGAGAAGGCGTTGTGGTGCGACTCCTTGTTCAGCCCACAGCTTGCCGTCTGGAGGCAGACAGGCAGTTGGGTTTGGTCAGGTTTGTCACCATTGATGGTGCTGCTGAAAGGTTGCTCTGTCTCTGTTTTAACAAGGATGGTGTCAAACAAAAACTCGGCTGAGTGCCCTGGCTCCGGCTCGCAGGGCGGCATATCCCTGTACCTCTAGTAAACTTGCAGCGGTGCCACGGGAGCTTGTACTCACCTGTAACACTGCAGTCTGACCTCACCCAGCTTACCCGTCTCGGAGCAGCACGGTCTGGGGCAGCTTTTACTTCATTGCATGGAGCTGGCTGCCTTTGGTCATTAACTCTACCATGATGGTGTAAATGATAGGAGGATTTGGCCCTGTAATGAGAGCCGAGTTAAGTGTTGTCTGTGAGCTAAAACAGGCTTCAGCACTGTTTCCTGCCTGGAGCTGTGTAATAGTTTTTACTCCGAAACGTACTTAAAGATTTGACTTCAAGGGAGAGCGGAGCCGGTGGGCATAAGTGTGTGCATGGGGGTGATGTTTGCAAAGCTGTCCCCTGCCACAATTCAGGATACTGTTTGGAAATACAGTGCCTTAACAAACCACCTGTATGCAGCAATGCACCCTCAGTTTGGGGAGCATGTGCCTATGAGAACCACAGCTTTCTTCCAAAGGCTCGACCTGCAGAAGGTTTGCCTGGCTTGCAATGCAGTGGCTGAATTGCATCACTGAGCAACCTGAGCTGTAAAAAAAAGTTGATTAGCAAAGATCCCATCCAACCGGCTAAACAGCCAAGTCGCAAAACTGCTGAAGCATCCAGTTCAGATTCTGCAGAGCCGAGCTGGTCACTGTAGGATCCATGTGGGCTGGCACAGCCACATCATGCAGGGATCAGAGGGACAGGGAGAGCGTGAGGTACCCACAGATGCATGGGAAGCTTGCACAAGTGCCAGGAAGAGACTCCCGACCAGGCTACTCTAGTGCTTTAACCCTCCAGCTCCTCACTCCCTAGGTCCTCAGTCCCGGAGAGTGATGAGTACCCATGCATGCACAGTGTAATGCAAGGGCCTTTCTACATTTGAGAGTTAGCTTGGATTACAATAGAGAGCAGATGCTCTGGAGTGGGTCTCACACTTTATAACTGTACGGACAAGCCTGTACATCCTGGTGTCACTGGGCAGGGGTGTTTGGCGTTGGGAGAGTGTGTTAGGTGCCTTGTTCTGCTGTTTAAGCTACAAGCTCATTGAGCATCCAGTACTGCACAGACTGGATGTGGGACTGACTTGCCTGCTCACCTTCAGGTTTCTCTGGACTATCTTCCCAAAATGAAATAAGAAAGAGTTGGATCTTCCTGCAAGTAGTGTAAAAACTGCCACTAGCAAGGCAGCCAGCACAGGACAATGAGCTCGTTCTGGGGAGCTGCAGCATAACTTAACTCGAGCTGGTAAAGTGGAAATAGGAAATCCTGTTGCATCTGTAGGACAGGCCGTAAGCTGATTATTTTCATGGCTGGGCTGCTGCAGTTGGTGTCTTAAAAAAACCTCCGGCAGCAAGATGCTTCTGAGATACTAAAAGACATGTTCCACATCCTGAAGACAATTAGGATTATCTCCCTGTGGCTGTCAACAATTGTTGCTGCCTTCTGGACAGCCCCAGCCCTTCCCTGCCAGTGTTTCTGGTGGAGTGGAGCCACAGGTGGGTTTTAGCAAAGGAGCAGTTGCTTTCCTGAAGTCAATGACTGAAATTCTTCCTCTGCTTCTGCCCCATCTTCCTGTCTGATGCCTCATCTCTGGCTTTCAGCCTAAAGGGTTGAAAACAAGCCTTGCTTCTGTCTGTACGGCATCCAGCAGAGCGATGCCCTGTTTCTGGCTGGAGCCGATGGGGGCTACAGTAACATACAGAGTAAGTCACATCAATCCGTGTGCTCTGGGTCCAGGGTAGGTCAGCTGCCTTCTGCTAGACCCAGTTGTCTGCATGCCTGGTTCTCTCTCCCAGGCTACAGACTAGTAGGATTTCCCTGCCATGTTAGAGGCACCCCATTCATAGACTCCATCTGTGAGGGGGTCTTGGGACATAACTTGCTGCTTCTGTACATAGTCTTGCCGACCCCATGGGTATAATGGTGTGGGGGATGCGGTGCTAGCAGGAAGGATGTCATATCAAATGCCCTGAACCCGGCTGTGGGGAAGTTGCCTGCCTTGCTTTGGTTTCTCTTCGTCGTAGGACAAAGTGTTGATGCTGACCTGGGAAAACCCAGAGCACCAAATCGACTCCCTCCCCACAGTGTGATGTCAGACTAGCATTTCTCAGGCCACGTCCATCCCGCCAATGCACGGAAGGAATCTGTTGCTCCGTGAAACATCCGTGTAAGACAATAGCTAGCGCTGTTGTGCTGCGAGAGCCGTTCAGAGTGGCTCTGCTCTCCACAATGTCTGCCATTATGTTGGCATTCCCGTGCAAAAGCCCCCTCACCCAAGCCGAGTACAGTGCCTGTCTTGGCTGCCAGCCAGTGCAAATGACTTGCCCTATTTCTCAACCGAGATGCATTCATCTGAGCAACTTTAATTGGAAAAGTAACAGGGCAGTAAGTTGACAGCCCTGAGAGATGGGTAAAGCCGTGAGATGGGGTGGAATTGATTCCCACAATACACGTACCCTAGCGGTGCTGCATGCTCGGTTGTGGCTGGCAAAGCGTCCAGCCGCCCGCGCTCCGCCGCGTGTCGCTGCTCTCTGTAACTCCTTGCTGAAGCAAGATGTTCTGGGACAAGGGCGAAGAAGTCCTCTCCTATCTCGGGACGTAACTCCAGCAGACCTTGCAGGGGCAGCAGCAGTGCACGCTGCCTTCACCCCTCCTCAGTATGGATGCGCTCCCACCCATGGCCGGGTGGGAGCACCTGGACAGGTCAGAGATGGCCCATCCAGGCTTTGGTCCTTTGTGGCCTCTCTGTGCTGCTGGGTTTCCCTTCCTTGCATGGTGCCTCCATTAGTGACTGTTATACCCACAGCCCCATCAGGGGGTCATTAGTGAATCCAGGCCTATGACCTATGCCCTGGCTGTCTCCTGGATCTAGGTGTTCCTGCCAGCCTGCTGCCAGTGCAGATGGGGCTCTGGATTTCTCCTAACAGCACATTTGGAAAACTGGGGGAATTTGGGAAGCCAATTTAAACATGTCAATTAACAGTAGGTGGAGTTGTCCTGCCCTTAACTGAGACCTAAGGGAGGAGGCTCCGCAGAGGCCCATCTCGTCCCCAGCTTGACCGCATCTTTTTTGCTTAAAAGGTGGTGAGGTGGGCACTAAACCAAGGTAGAATCGGTCTCAGGAGAAGGCTGTGTGTCCAGTTTTACCATCAGACCAGTGTCCAGCAGGACTGTAGAGCTGAGCCTGTCTAGTTTACCTGGTAGTAAAGAGAAAAACACACAGTGAAGGCGCATATCCCAGAATAACTCACGTCAGCCCCCCCAAGGTTAAACACTGCTTCCTGCGGGTCCACAAGGCCATGCTTATTAAAAGCCAGTGGACTGGGAGGTCCGGTTCTTGATCAAGATGTTCTGGGTGGGACACATGTAAGCTTTCTAGGTGCCTGAGTAGAGTGAGAAGTGTGACGCTGAGGCTAGGGAGGCTGTAAGGGGAGGGTGATACAGATTCCCTGCCTGTTCTACCCTCATTGCCCCCTCAATAATTTGGTACTGGCTGCTGGGATGCGGAAGTGAATGGGCTTCTCTGTTCAGTACTTTGAAAAAAATAGCATTAGAATAAGTGTTTGCTCTGTGTGGTCACCGGGTCCCTTCACGAGCAACCTCCCCTCTAGCTTTTCTGTTTCTAGAGACTTAACGCTTAAAACCAAGAAGAGAAACGAGCTGAGCAGCCCCTTTTCAGCCAGGCTCTGTTTGTGCATGTGAGACGTTCTGCAGCTGATGCCTGTTGCCTGCAGTTCAAAGGAAGCCAGTCAGCTGCTCTGATTCAGGGGTCTCCAGCATTAGGAGCCAGCTGTTTCTGTGGGCCATGCTGATAAAAGCTTTCTTTTCTTTTTTTTCTAGACTGCCTTGGGTCACCGATTGTGTATTCACCAGTCAAAGCAGATCTCTCTGGAAACATCAAGGTAGGAAGGGGCTGCCAGATCTAAAATCCTGAGTTCTGCCTTCAGCAAGCCTGGGAGTGTCCTTACTGCTTTACATCTTTGCAGCCATAAATTAGCAGTCTCTTCCTGAACAAGCATGGAGAGCTGTTGGTCGGTGACACTGGGCCCTGAGTAAACCTGCTTTTTGGCAAGTTTGTCCTTGAATTTTGCCCATCTCTTGAGGGAAGGTGGAAGGAACTAGGTGCATTTAGCTTGGAGAAAAGGAAGTTATCAGGGCACATGAGCCTTCAAATATGTGAAAGGCGGACACAAAGATGGCAAAATATTGTTGTCCCTTGCCTCGTGCAGGACACAAGGAAGTGGGCTTAGACTGCAGCAAAGCAGCTTCCCATCAAATCTCAGGAAAAAACTTCCCGACTGTAAGAGCAGGACGAGAGTGGAGCCAGCAGCGCAGGGAAGTGGTGGAATCCCCTTCACTAAGAGGTCTCCAAGCTGAGCCTGGATGGGCGTCTGTCTGGGACAGTTTTGCAGTCCACCCTGCATCTCTCAACAGGGATAGGCAGGGTGATACTTGGGGTCCTTCCCACCTGGGATTCTCTCAGTGGTGCTCTAGTCGAGGATTTAAGCTATTCTCCCATTCGGCAGTGCTGCTGCACTTCTGCAAGCCGACCCAAGCAAGAGCGCAGGGGTCGGTCAGTGCACTCATCATAACCTGCACCCCCATCCTCTCCTCCCAGCGGCAGGGTGTGCTCTGCCTGACATTATGCTCTCTGGCTGCTTTCAGAAAATCCGAGCGGTGTACGAATCCAATCCTGCCAAGTTCAAAACGCTGCAGAACATTCTGGAAGTAGAGAAGGAAATGCATGGATCGGCGTGGCCAAAGACTGGCGCGACGCTGGCGCTCTTGTGGCTGAAAAGGTGATGTGTGGCTTCTCTAACTCTCAGGCACTGGAGAGGGTCACCTGCTTACTTGTGCTGCTAATGCAGGAAATCCAGTCTTGGGCCACTGCTTGCAGGCTGGCCAGCTGGTTAGCTGTGCTTCTGGAGGCCTGAGCCCATCGATCTTCATGTAGGGAGATGTTAATGCTGGAGATGCTTGCAGAGAGCTTGCAGGCTTTCTTCTTGCAATCATAACTGTCCAGGGGTGCTGGATGCGTCTGATGAGATGGGCAGGCATTTAGTGCAGACTTCCCGTGTGGTTAACGTGCTCCCTTCTTTGCAGGGGCCTGAAGTTCATACAGGTTCTGCTGCAGAGCATTTCTGATGGCGAGAGAGATGAGGCGAATCCGAACCACATCCGAGTCAATGCGATGAAGGCTTATGAAATCGCACTGAAGAAGTATCATGGCTGGATGCTCCAGAAGCTCTTCACGGTCAGTGCTTGCCCTCCAGGGCTTTCTGGATGCAGCTTGGTTCAGCGCCTAGATATCATGGTTACAGGCACTCCAAATACCCTCGTCTGTCTTCAGAACTAGGGGCTGACAGTTCATCTGCCTCTTCTCCTAGGTTTGGGGGCCTTGAGTTTCTGCAGTGACTAGGGATTTGGAAGCCCAGCAAGGCTCTGGTTTTGGTTCCAGGAAGTCACGGTCTTCCCAAACCCCGCTCCCATACAGTGATGTCTGTCAGGCCCTCTGAGCCAGCAGTCGCCCTTGGAAACTCTGGCCGCAATGGAGCCCCAACAGCCCTTGAGCTGGAAGCCTGGATCCCAAGGGATTCTCGTTCATGGTAGTCTCTGGGGCTTGTCGTGGAATCCTAACAGGCTCCTTCCTTCTGGAAGACTTACCCTCTGGTCTAGGAACTTGGTCATCTTTGTAGAGCCAAGGCTTGAGCAAAAGTGCCCTTGGGTGTACATGAGCAGTGTGTAAATGGTGCTAAAGGAGCATGGGAGGATGGGGAGGTGGCTGAGGGCTGGTACCTGGTGGGTGCTGGGACAAACACAGTGAATTCAGGAGCTCTTGTGTGCACAGAGTGGTTCTGGCCGGACTCTTGGAACTGGGGATTTCCTCACCAGTAAGGCAACTGGGGCGGCTTGGTCTCATGTTTTTTTGCTAAATGCTCTTTCCCTTCTTTTAGGGCTCAGTCTATGCTCTTCCATACAAGTCGGACTTGCTGAAGGCTCTAGAGAAGGGCAAAGAAGTGAATGAGGAAGAGAGTTTAGAGAAGATCCATCAGTTCCTAGCAAAAGCCACCCCTATTCTGGATGCAATTTATGACATGTATATAAAAATGAATGCAGAACTGAACTACAAAGCTTAACCTTTGCACTGGACTCCTGCAGCCAAGGACAACAAATGCTCCCAAAATTTTAATCCGTGGGAGCACTAGGCCTGTTTCCATTCATCAAGTGACTTTAATTCTTGGCATGGATATGCAGGAAATAGCCTGGGGGATTTTCTTTAAAAAAAAAAGAATAGTTTTCTGTAGAAACATAGCAATAAAACACAATGATCGTTTCCCAGATCTTGGAACTTGACACACTTTTGTACCAACTGGAGAATGGTAAAACTATTTCTAGTCTTTATCTAATTGTTTGCTTCAAAATATGTCTGGGGAAATGAGATACCATTGGCAGTGTTTAGCTGACGCTATTTTTCTGGCTTTACCTCAGTTTTCGGTAAGAATGTGTCCTTCCACTAATGCTGTATTGTGAGATGCAGTGATGCACTTGGGCTACAATGGCAGCAGATGCCATGCGCTAAGAGTAGTGGTGTGAACGCCGTTCTTGTAGCATAGCTTGCCTGGACTCCTGGCCACGGTAAGAAGCTTTCACAAGAATGCCAGAAAGATGTTTGCAACAAAACCAGCCTTCAGTGACTTTCCCAAGTGACATTTTAATCTTTTAGTAATTGCAGGGGGTTTTATGTTTTTTATCTTCCTGTGGGAAGAGTTTCTTCTGGATAACTAACTTGAAACTATCTGTAATTTTGTAAATCTTTTAATTCTTGCTCCTGAGACCAAAAAAAAAAGGCCTTAATCGTAATTTATGGCAGAGTTGGCCTTTATTTTAAGGTAATGGGAGTGGGGAAGTAGACTGAAATAAATGTTGGAAACTAAACCTCCACTTCGGGGTGCTCTTTGTTGTGATATTCTCTGTCTTCCCCTCTTACTATTTGAGGTCTGATGTATAAAAGTCTCCTCAGCTCTGACAGACCGTTTGCCGTTCACCTCCGAAGTGTCAACTGGAAGCTTCGCCCTGCAGACCTGGAGAGCTGGGATGCGCAGTCAGGGCTTTGCAGTCACTGGATGAGGGACAGCTCTGCTCCGACCGCAGCGGCCTTGTACTTTGCCGCCAGATGGGGCTCTCGGCCGTTTCTCAAGTCCAGGCTAAACCAACCCACTCATCCCTTTCCTATTTAAACCTGAGTTATTGATCTCCCTGCCTCTGAACTCTTGAACTGCGGGTGGTTTTGAAGGGCAGAATAATGGGAGTAGCTGCAGAGGGGCCGGTTCACAGCCTCGTACAACATCCCACGGCCGCCCCTGCCTGTGTCCTTCTTGGGACTTTTTTACTGCCGAAAGCTCGGTACAAAGTGTGAGCTCGTTTCTGGAATATTTCCAGGGAGATGCCTTACATGTGACCATGACAGCAGGGTACTCTTTCTTAATCAAAAACAAGCTTCTGCTTTGTTTTTCCCAATGGTAACAGGAAAAAAGGTTGGTTAAAATCTGGCCAATGCACATCTGCTTAACGCCTTAGAGGTACTTGGGGCTGGGATCTTCCAGTGACTCTCTTTAGTGAGCCATGCAGTAGAAAGAAAGGGGCTGGTGGTACCCGTACACGCTTCCTCAGCCTGCCCTCCTGGCACACCGCGTTCGAACACCCAGGGGTCCGTGCCGACGCTCCTGGTCCTTTAGTGCTCCGAGACCCTCGTGCCGCAGAAGGAAGGGTCCCCCCGTGGCCCTCGGCGTTTCTCCGCTTGCAAATAGAGGGTGCGGCGGACGCTCGGGAGCTGGAAGCTTCTCCGGCAGCGATGTGCCCCGTGCCCAGCCCCGCAGGTTGTCTGCCTGGTGTGTAATTAGTGATCCTGTGGTTCAAATGTTTCTTTGCGCTGCTGGAGAAGGCTCAGGGAGGCCTGACGTGTCTGCGTGTTGCAGCGGTGACCTGCCTTGCAGCGGGATGGTGTTGTGTGTCGCCCGCCACCGGGCCTACGGCGCAAAGGGCCACGGACCCGCTGGAAACCGTGCCCTGAGCTAGAGCCGCGCCGCAGCCATCGGCTCGGCCGCCTGCCCTCAGAAAACTGGCCGGGAATGTCTCGGCCGCCGAAGCTCGGAGGCGCCGGCTCCGTCCAGCCTGCGCCGCGGAAAGGAGCGGTCTGACCGCCGGGCAGGGCGACAGGTTAGTCCGCATCCATCGCCGGGGGTAAGAGCGAGCTGATCCCCGGCCAGCGGCGACTTGCTCAGAGCCGGCACAGCCTGGAGAAGCCCGGGGCCGGGGCCGGGGCCGGGGCCGGGGCCGGCAGAGCGCTGCCTCCACACGCCGGCGCGGGCGCGGCTCCCCC